TCTCTAGCATAGCTGATGAATGACAGCTGAACTTTTACCCGATACCGATAAGGAAGATAATTTATATTCAAAAATCACAGAAAAGAGAACAGGCTTGTATTTGGAAATAAAGAAATGTGAATACCTTTAAGAAATGTTTGAAATAATGCTGTTTATTATAATTCAACGCCCCAAAAGATAGAATGAAGTTGTAAGACAGAGAAAGGTGATGTTGAAATATGATGAGAGGCCCTGCAACCTACAGGCTATATCCTCACCTCACACTGATGAAACTTAGTTTATATTATCACTGCCCATAGGTCCTTCATCATGCTGCTGTGAGTCACTTCAACCCATTTGCTATTCATGTGGATAAAAGGGACATGGTATTTGGTTTTCTTTTGTCCCAACTACTCAAGTGGAAAATGTTCACGTATAATGTTACAGAAATTAATTTTTCTCAATGCACACTGTGTACAAATAACATTTATGAGGAGCACTTGTAAAATATCAGCCTTACATTCATTCATGTGCTTTTTGTCAGGTGCTGGATTTTCAATAAACCAGAAAAGGTCCAAATTCTGTCAAACCAATACTATTCTATAATATTATTGTAAAAAATATGTTTTCCTCCTATTCATATAAAATCTGACCACTCATGACTACAAAGGGACTCAGCCAACTGTGTCTACCTTTTAGCGGGTATCTACACATAGAAATGTGCTGTGATGAAAGAGCAAGGGGAAGGAGTCTGTGAACAGTGAAAAGGGAAAGCTGACGGGAAATATCATTCTGAAAAGTTGCCAAGCAACTGATCTCATCAAATCTGAACCTTTGCCTTTGAAGCATGAGCAAATGAGACCAAATAGTTAAAGTGATTTAATGCTATCCTTTCCCCCTGTTTTATTTTCACATTGAAGCTTTTTCCTCTGAACTTTCTGTTTATTCACTCTATCTTACTCTTCAAAGAATTTTAAATGGTTGATATTATTATTATTATTTACATGTTGAGATAGTTCAGCTCTTTTATTGTTTTTCTCAGCTTTATTGAGGTATAATTGACAAATAAAAGTTGTATATTTTAAGGCGTACAACATGATGATTTGACATTATACGTATACATTGTGAAATGAATAACCACAATCAAGATATTTATCACATCTATCATATCAAATAGTTATCCTTTTTTTATGTGGTGAAAACCCTTAAGATTTATTCTCTTAGCAACATTAATGTCTTTATATAATAATGACAACAGTGAATAGAGATATCTAGCACATATTGGGCACTTTCTAGGCAATTTACAGTGTGTTGTCATAAATTCTCAAAAAAGTCTATGAGGCAGATATTTATCAACTTCATTTAACAAATGAGAAAACTAAGGCCTAGAGTAACATTCCTAAGGTCACACTGGAGTAATGAGGTGGCAGACAGGACTACCAAGTATGGCTGATGATAAACCTAATGCTAGCAATCACCTATCTAGGTTGCCTTCCCTACTGTATCTGTGTTCTGAAAAATCACTCTTGTTTATCTTTTTAGGACAGTGAAACCTATCTTATGCTCTCTGATAAAGACATAACATTTTGTTGCTAACTTTACCCCTCAATTTAGCTATCTTCTCCTAAAGTGTGTCAGGGCCATGTCTATGTAAATGCATGTTTATTACAGTACCAGTAAATATAAAAAATATAAAAGAACATACAAAATCAGACCTAGTTCTGCTTGCCTGAAATCAAATGCTTGAATTTGGAAGGAGTAATGCAATTTTTAGAATTATTTTCCTACAATTTACCAAATTATTTTCATAATATTTAGTTAGCCAGAACTGGTAGATTCAACAAATATTCATGGGTACTTAATCCTAGCTTCACCACTTTCTAGTTGGGTAAATTATTTAACTCATCTGTAAAATAAGGATTCTATTAGTATCTACCTTACGGAGTTGTTGTGAGGATTAAATGGGTTAATGCCTTTTAAAAGCTTAGAAGAGTACATGGCATATATAAAAGGTCAACAGGTATCATTTACTTTCTTTCTAGATGGGCTTTCCACTCTCTATCCATATTATATTTGTCTCATAGCATAGGGCAAATAACCATTCTTTAATTCACTCTTAGCCACAAATAGTGGTTCCATGATATAAAATAAGATCCTTGATTAATCAATATATTTTAAAGCTCACAATTAGGATATTTTCAAGAATTTTTCTTTACATCTGTTTCTTTACCATTGTGTCTAATAACAGCTTCCCTAAATATTTTCGTCTTATATACCTAACTTTAAAATGAATGAAACCAAAAGCACACACTAAAAACTGTATCATGTTTTTCCTTTGCTTCTCAAAATCCTACCTAGACTCTTATAATCTTAATTCTAAATCTTTTTGACCAAACAGGTAATTTGGGAAGTTAATAGGTAGTAATGATAGCTAAGTTCACATACTTGAAGATAAGGGTATTTGCAACTAAGGACAGAGTTGAACACTGTAAGGCTAAAGGACTTACATACTGCATTTGAAGCAATCACACAAGTGCTAACAATTTAAATTACTATCATTTTCAGAAAATATCAAATGTGAACTTTTTTGTAACTTCAGTATTTTTTGCAATATACTTCAATAGGAGCAAGTATGTTCATTATTATTTTTAAATCCAAGAGAATGCTGTCACACTTGGGGTTCCATGTGATGGGACCATTTTATAGGTTAAATAAAGAAGTTGTTATCCATTCTTGCTTTCTAAGGTTTGAAGTTATTCGTATTGGGGCCTTTAGGGAGACTTGGAGATTTAACTTAACGCTTAGATTTTAGATGAAGGTTTGAGAAGGTGCCAGGTATTTGGTGGGGATAACTAGCATTTAGAAATCCCAGTTGATGAGTATTCATCATTTAAAACTCAGCATAAACTCAGCATTGATGTGACTTCCCAAGAAGACTCTGGAGCCTCAGCTCCTGGGCTACTGGAGCACTTTGTTCACACCATCCTACTTATCTAAAGTGGCTGCACTGCATCTCTTTGTTTTTTCCCTCTGGGGTATGACTGCATTCCACAGAGGATTTACATTTTATTCATCTTTACATCTTCAGTGCCTGGCTGACTTTATGTACACAACAAATAGTAGCTGAATGAGGTTAACAAATGAATTAATCTTTGGGAAAATTATGGCCACAGATTCATGTATGTGACAGGTAGGTTTTACTACTTAAGATCTGATTTAAAAAAGGTAAATATATTTAACTGCTAGTTACCTGGAACAACTTTCAAGGTGTGCTAGGAAATCTACACTGAAGTATCTATAAGTATCTCTATCGAAGGCTCAAACTATATTTCAAGTACAAAAGTTAAAAAAAAACCTTCAGGATCAAAAGTAAAGTACTTTTTAAACTTCCTTGGCTTTCTTTTAAACATATATATACATATATATATTTCTTTTCTCCTAACTTGTTTTATAAAAATATATCAAGTATCTATAGGATATCTAAATTCTCTAAAATTTAAATAGTAATCTATCTTATTGGAAGAGATATGATTTGTGGAACATGACAGCACTACGTGCTTCAAACTGTAGTCTGAAGGAACTAACAATTCATAGACATTTAACTAAGACCCTATAAGCTATTTTTATAAAGTTATTAATAATCAACTTCATCTGATGATTATAATTTCCCCTTAAATTAAACATTCTTATTTACTTCAACACAAGTAGAAAATAGCCAGAAAATCCTGGGACATAAAAAAGAAGAGTTGATATACATTACTGCCTATCCAACAATAGGTAGTCAATAAGTGCTTGTAGAAGGAGTGAACAAAAATAAAAACCTTGTGTGATGGAGCAGAGGCAGAGATAACAAAGATGGCAGGCCTCCATACTGCAGAGGTTTACAATGTAATAGCGGAGAAAAGCAAAGGTGCAAATGCCTTCACTTATGACAGTTCAACATAAGCGCCACCAGAGTAGTACAACAGTTGAGCTATGCTAAAAAATATCATTACTTATGATAAAACAGCACATGTACAGAGAATGACACAAAACAAGACATGTATGGTTCCTATTCTTTAGGGTCATTTTGGTCAAAACTTTTCATACATAACTATTACCAAAGAGCTGTGGGGAAATAAGGCATGGGTAATAAGGTACATGATGACCAATCTTTTGGGACCACAGGAGGGAGGCACATGACCACGGTGGACAAGTAAGGGAGGCAGGCGGAAAGAGAAAGCTAAAAAACAACTTTCCTTCTGCTCAGCTCCCACTGAATGAGTCTGGACTAATCAGCAAGGATCCTGTCCCTCCCCACAAACTGAAAAGGAATAAGCACAGAATTCCAATTAAATCCATGCACTCTTGCAATAGGTCCATAGGTTTTACTACTTTAGGCAACTGTATCTGCAAATCTTTCGGCTACACTATGTCAATTTAAAGTATTTGTGACTGGGTTACTTTCTTGGTCATGCATGGAAAAACAGGAGTTAAAGATAAAAAATTCTGTGACACGGTAGCTCTAGGCCCATCTTTGCTTTAGATATAGTATGTCCTTCCTATTTAAAATCCACTCAAATTTTGCAGCTTCTTACAAAAAATAAAAATTGAGATGAGATTTTCCTTCGAAAAATCCATCTAAATATTTTTAATACATTAGATATAAGGAAATTTTATTTTAAATAAGTCATATCAACAGTAAGTATTCACTAAAAAAACTGGGGGAACCCCTTGAACTATTCCAATTTGGCAACACCTGATACACAAAATTACATGTGATTCAAAAAGGTTTTGAAAAATCATTAATGAGCTAAAATGTTACCTACTATTCTTGCTTATCTTGGGAAAAGTTAGAATAATTTTTAATGATATGCCTCATATTGTTGAGATTCCACTTGGAAGCACATGACAGACACAGATAGATTATAAAGATTCAAAAGCTATCAAGTAATTTCCACAACCCAAAAGTCTAGGAAAAGAAGTTAAGATTCCCATGCCAGACATATGTTCTTATATCAACATGAGAGAAGAACTCTTACCATAAGTTGGGGTGCTTTCTCGTCTTCCTTGACTACTTGATCTTCCCTTTTCATATTCATAGCAATATAAGACAGCATCTTCTTCAACAATATTAAACCTCTTTCGATATTCCTGATCCAGAAATGAATTTGGAGATTCAGATCCTTTATGTACTGGCTTGCCCACCATATGTCCTCTGAGGTCTTCACAAGGAAGGTTTCCTTTTTCATCTCTAAAGAAAGGGTAAAGGAGAAGGATGTAGGAAAGTGTGAGGGTGGTAAAATGGCAGAGAGGGTCTCAAACAGTAATAATATCCTTCCCATATAAGATATTTTCTGATATTTCCAAACTTGGAGGTTTATAGAGCAATTTTTAATTTTTCCTATTTTTCCAGAAAAAATGCAAAGGCTCAAAGAGGTTAAATGACTTGTCTAAAGGTTACACAGCTAGACATGGGCTGTGGATCTTCTAAATTGTGCTCTAGTCCATTTTCACCATACTATGTCATATAAAAGAAATCATCTCAGCATGTTAATTGCTTTTAGTACTCAAGACAATAGGCATAATGTTAACAATGCTAATGACATACCATTCTTCTGCCAGTTTACCTAATTCATTCACAACAATATCTGCACTGCTTAAAAACAAAGATGTGTTTAAGAACTACCACCTCTGTGAAGGTAATGTGAGCTTAAGAACCAAATCAGCACTATACAAACTGATATTGTAAGAATTTCTAACAGCTTGTTATTAATTTAAAATACACCTTAATGAAAATAATTACTCTCAGTATCTAAACTTTACGTATCTTATTTAATAGTAAAAAAGATACATTCATGGAGCTCATTCTAAATGGAAGTATCAAAATTTCATTATACATCAGCAACACTTCCTGTGGAGAGGGTGGAGAAACCTAATCATATACAGAGTTTAAGAATGAGATTTAAGGTGATGGCAAATTAATTTTTTTCTTCTGAAGGATTCTGAGGAGAAAAATCTAGTAATTTATGGGATCCCTAAAACTGTTACTCCCACATAGGATTACTCACACAACCCAGGGGATTGGGCCCATAAGAGTGGAATTTTGGTAGAAATATTCCACTTAGGATTGGTTAAGATCAACCTTGTTTATTTTACAATAATTTCACTGACTGGCTATGAAATTTCTGTTAGAAAAGCTCATGTTCTAGAACATGACTATGAATGTAAATGCAACATTTCTTGTGTATCATTAACTTTATTTCTTCCTAGTTCTTAAATCCAGTTCTATACTAAACAGTGCCATGAATGCTATCAAACCAGATATAATTTAATTTTATGACAAGTGCCAAGACTGAATTCTTAAATCCACAGAATAAACTGATTATAGCAAGAGGGATGAAAATAACATTTTTAATTGACGTATTGAGTCTTTTCAGATGGAGATGAGCTTATAAAACTAATGTTAATTCTAGCTTCAGCTCAGCAAAAATACTATATTTTTATACTATAGTATACTACACTTCTGTACTGGTACGCAAATGTCTAGATTGGGCTTGTACAAATGAAGAGAACTTTATTCTTATTATTTGAATTATGTCAAAAGCAGTAAAAAACATTCTCTGGACTGAATCAGCAAGCTGTCTTATGTACTTAACTAATTACAAAGTGAGGCTGCCATTTACACTGCCATTCACTCTTATTTTTTTTAAATAAAACTACGGCTTATTACCAAGTTGTAACTATAAAAGTTAGTTCTTCAGCAACACAAAGAAAATGATACAAAATCCAGGCAGAACTTTATTTTTGGCTAGCTAAAAACTTTTCCTGAACAAATTGCCTAGTACTTGTTACTGTTAGTCCTCTAGCAAAAAGAAATTGACACTGCAACTAACTTGGAAACAGCCCTAATGAACTTGAGGTATTGGAGTAAAGTTATGCCTATGTATAAACAGGCAGACATTTCTATCAGGGCTGTGACATAAATGTTAATGCAGCTGAGATCAGAGGGTGATTCAGCCCTAGTTAATTCACCATGCTTTATTTATATGTATACACCCCGTGGCAGAAAATGGGAAGGGCTGGCATTGCTTACTATAATGATATGAAAGCAGGGCCTTACATCAATGAGGAAGATTTATTAGACATGTCTATATGGAATACATTAAATAAAGTTGGACTAAGAAAAGTACAAACCAAAAACAAACTTTGCATTAGAATGAACTGATACATGTGTTATATATGTAAGTGTGTGCACATTTGTGTCTGTGCCTGTATGTACATGTACTCACATCATGAGCCCCTGAATAACTCAACGTATTAATTTATTCGGCTGTAAAACTTTTTAAAAACCTTTCTTAATGTTGTACATCTATACATGTATATAATAAACCTATGCTTTTGCTCTAAAAAGGATTTAAGGGAACAGATGAGAAGTTAGAGCACTGCTTTAGTGAACTTTCTTTATACTTAATGGCTCATAGTAAAATTAATAAGAGAAATTAGTGTACTTAAACTTCACAGTTGTGCAAAGACCTACAAATTATTGATTTTCATGACAGAAAAAGAAATTTGGTTAAGTAAAAAAAATTCACTGTATATTGATAATGAAATTGCCTATAGTAAGACATACAGTAAAAAACTGACCAAATTTTACTCACTTCACACACATGACTGTTTTCTCTTTTAGAGAAAAAGTCAATTTTTTTTGTTTTGGGGTTTTTAAAATTTTTTTGGGGGGGGCAATTATACCCTCCCCCTGAAAAAATCACTTTCACAATCACATTTTTTTTTCTGGAATAAATGTGTTAAAAGAATTATAATCACATGAAAAGACTTCTACCTAATTTGACTAGTCCTACCGTTTTTAAGATGAGAAAATTTTTCTTACTTACAATTTAAATTATCACTAAAATGCTGTCTACATAAAAAAATTAATATAGGAAAAAAGAAATGTTCAGATGAGTTAAATTAGGTGAACCACATTCATCCACAAAATGAGAAAATGGGTAAAAAAGTGCCATGACTGTATCTATAAAAGAATGACATATGTAAAAATTTTTATGACTATAATTTTAAGTCAAACCAGAAAATGCAGGTAATTCACACAAGGCTATTCTACAAAGGGACTTTGATGCATGTATTGGTCTAACTATGCTGTATCAAACAATTCTGTGACTGGGTAACTAATAATGTGATTTTAAAATATGCTCTTAAATTACACACTAGACTAAGAATCACTAAGAACTAAAATGAGAGATAATATACTCTGATTATGAATTTTACTGACAAGTATGGAGCTTTCAAGCAATACTAATAAAACAAGTACGACTATGTTGATACTTCAACCTCTTACATTCTCCTATATTTTTAAATAGCAAGTTTAAGCTTTGTACTGACTTCATTATATTGCTGTAATCATATCTGCAGCACACTCAGAGGACAGAACTGGGTCCTTTTACTCCTGTCTTCTGAAGTGCATTTTAAATACTTTTTGTCACGGAAACACTTTCTTTATTACAAATTCCTCCCTACCCAAGAGACAAAGAAAGGACATTAAAAAACTGCAGAGATTTGCTGAAAATAATTTTCTGATGTTTGTCTGTATATGGAGCCCTCTGAAGAATAAGGCCTATTTAAATGATCATTTGCACTGAAATAAAAATCTTTCCAATTAAAATGAAAACAAACCAAAAATGAGTCATTTCCTACTTGAAACACACATGCCTTTATTGCTCTTCATGCAATAAAACACTCTCCTTCATCATTCAGAAAGTCTGACACTACCTCAAAAAAATTAAAATGCAACTTGTATTTGACTAAGATTTTTGGATAGATTTGTACATCTGATTATAAACTAACATAAGACTGAAATTATATATTAGAAAGATCTGTGAAATGCCAGCTTAGTAAATTATATCTTCTCACAAACCATGTTCTCACAACTACATTCAATTCTCAAAAACAAGAACTAAAATGTTGACAATATTGACTAGTTTTTTTTACTGGATGACAACATAGTGTTTGCACACATGCCTGTTGTCACGCAGCATTGAGATCGTAAAATGTCAGAACGATCATATCCAACAGAACGAAACATCAGATGTACTGAAGTAAATAATAAAAATTAATTAAGGAATTTTGGTTGTCTTATTTAATGAAGAAATTTAATGTTACTTATAGCTTGAAAACAAGAGATGCTAAATTATTGTTTTTGAATGACTGCACAACCAATTTAAAATGTGAATCAAATACTTTGTGATTGGTATTAATTATCTCCATTTAGTGCTGGCCCTTTTCCATAATTTTTGTATTCCACAAGGCTGGAAATCAGAATGCTTTTGGACAGAATGCGTGACGGCAAAGTTATATTCTTCCACCTGCCAGGAATTTCAAATAGGAGTTTGGAATGTAAAGTGGAGATACAGCCTCCAAAAATCTGAAAATAGACTTTAAAGGTAACTCATGCTCTTGCAAACTCTCTCTACTTTCTGAAAGAAATATTAATGAACAAATCAAGTATAAATTGTAGATACAGAGGTAGTAGGGGGAAAAAACACTCCCTCATCATCATTCAAGAAAAAATATACCTCCCTCATTGCATACATTTAAGAAGGCATAAAAGTTATCCATAAGTTTCTCTTTTAGAAAAAAAGTATGAATGCTTCAAAGGAACCTGAGATTTTCTGGGGCTTCTTAGATAAAGAGCCTGACTTATTTTTTACTTACTAAAATAATCCTAGTTGCTATTTTATATTAGTTTCATATTATTTCCTATTATATGAGATAATGCTTATAGGCTATTTACTGTATATTGTGTTTAATACAAATTAGTTACTGCTATTGTTATTAACTAGAGTGCAGTCTGTATCATACAATAATTTTCCAGAATGTGTTCAAAATTCTTAACTGAGAAAGTATTCCAGGTGTTCCTTGAGGATTTACTTCACAGTTTACAAGCAGTTAGGTTAGTTGTATACCTGGGAATATAGGGTTCTGCAGGAGGAGGGGGAATGTAGAGATCCTGGAGGGCAGAGCTGTCCCTTTTGGTGGGCGTACTGATGGTGCTGGAAGGCGTGGCAACGCTGCTTGTGGGACTTCTAGGTATAAGAGGCTGGTTAAAATGAAAAAGAAAATACATACACACACAAACAACACACAAAACAACAACAACAACAATGACACATAGTTATCATTTTAAAATGATCTATTTCTGCAAAGTTTTTGAACTTGGCTGAAATCAAGAAGCATGTTATTTAGCACATGAATAGTCCTTTGAATTTCCAAAAACAAATAATTTATTACTTTAGAGGTATTCACTTAGTTCCTAACTCACCTTATTGTACAGCATAACCACGTAACTATTTGTAAGGTAATAGTACCATGTAGTGTTTCGTAATGGGAAGATTTATCTCACAGTCAGAAACTCTTTTACATTAAATTTGCTTTGTTAGAATCCTACCTTTGAAAGAAAGATAATAAAGAGTAACTTTCAGAAGAATTAGTTCACTCACATCCTGATTGATACACAAGAAAGATACTTCAGATCTTTTCCCAAAAAAGATATACCATACTCCTAAGTTAGTAGAATGTCAAAGATTCTCAGAAAAGGTTACAAAAATGGAGTATGAAAAGTTAATATGAGAGAGTATTTTCTAGGAAAGTGTACTTTCTGTGTAAATGTAAACACAACTGTCTTCTCAAAGTCATTTTATGGTACATCTTCAAAAGTATGGTGATTAGTGTGACATAATCATTTCACTTTCCATAGGCATATTACACATATATCATTCTTTAAAATAATCTTCAGTTGCATACCTATAGATCTCATTTTCATGCCTGCATTTAAGAATTAAATAAGTTTTTAAAAAATTAAGATACTCTATATACTGAATTAAGCAATACATCAGGATGCATTAATTTAAGAGCATTCCCAATCCTAAGCTTCACAGCATTTGGAAATGATACTGTGGTTTGAGAAATTATTCTAAAGTGAAATTAAAATTCACAAATTTTCACGTTTATCTTACAGATCTTACCGATTAGCTACATATACAATAACATAATAAAAACAAGAATTTCAATGCAATCGCAAACACAAAAATAATGATCACAGAATGAAACTGTTATCTTCACATGACAAGATGTTGCCATTTTAGCCAGTATGAAAACACCTTTGGCATATCTATATAGATCCACAGTTCTATTATTTTAACACGTATGCTGGGCACTCAAAATATGGCATAGTACAACTATTTTATATTATGACAATACTTTTGTACAGATAAACAAAATTTGCTCAAAAAGCCAAGCATAAATACAATGTACAATGTAGGTCACTGGGGCAGGCTACATAATTTATGACTCAGTTCACGGTTTTAGACCTTCCTTTTTACACAGCTCACCTTAATAGCTTGAAATCACACATCCTGCCAAAATGACGGTTAACTTTTAATCTATGTGAAATAGAAATTAAAGAGAGAGAGAAGGGAAAAATAATTGATAATTTATTTTGGGACTCTATAATATTCTATTTCATATGATGTAAAAAAAAAACAAAGTTTACATGTTGAGGAATTTTGATTTATTTTAAACACACACAGTAAACACTATTATGTTTATGCTGATTTTGGTGTAGTGTCCAATCAAACTATGCGTTTCTTTTAGAAACAAAAATCCTGGCAATGGGAAATACTGAGATTAATAGGTAATCAGGAGTTACCTGCACAGATGAACACCACGAAACCTGAGGAAATAAAGAATTATATTCTAAGGATGTATTACGTGCCTCTACAACAGATCTTTGAGTAATAGATTCTTGAGATCAAGTGTTTAGACCCTGTGATGTGACTCTGCTTATAACCGTTTTCTCTCTTTCAGGACATTTTGGTGTTAAATACACATGATACTGAACAGTAAGTCTGACGAAAATTTCATCATTATAGAAATGTAAAGAAAACATTCATTACACAGTACATTATATTCCAAAACTTTCTATAACAGATGCACTGTGAGGGAAAAACTTATATTCAGTATGTTTTTTAAATGCTCTAATATTACTCTTATTTTAAACTAACCTAATACTACAAGTAAACTTAAAAAATGAGCATTAAAAAATAATCAGCTTAAAATTTTATTCTCTTTCCTCTTTTTTAGGGTCACTGCTACTGTTTTGAAGACTTCTTTCCTTTTTATTTTACCATCTATAGAACTAAAGATAATTTTTCTTGGTATGTACCTCTCCCTGCCCTCCCCAAAGAGGAAGGAAGAAAAAAAAAAAGGAGAAGTAGTAGTCAATGGTTACCAGAATATTTTAAGTACCTCTGAAGTGTGAGGTAAGGACCAACAAAATATTTTATTCTATTACTACGATTGTCTATTTAGCATACTTGTGCTTTTCCCCTTTCAGGAAATTTAAATATTAGCCACGTCAATGTCCTTCAAATTGCTAACTTCTCTAGGTTTCTGTTTTCAGCAAGGAGTTGCTATTAAGGTCCTCAGTTAACATTAATAGCTAAATTGGCAAAAACATAGAAGAGTAAGACTCTTAGATATACTTAAATAGATAACAGGTTTGATTGTCCCAGCTGGTTCAATTAATTGAAGTGGCTGGAAAAAACAACTTGCTCTTTCAGAGAAAAGAGAAACTAGTCAATTCTCTTGTTTAACTCCACTGGCTAGTTGTTTTATTCATATAAAACATTTCAATTGTTTTATCGTGTAGATATCACCCAGTTAATTAGTATGCCTTGTACCAAGTAAAACACATGGTAAATATTAAATATATTCAGTATATTTTTGTCTACCAATAGTACTATTTTTGTCAAGCTAATCCAAGCTAAAAAGTAGAGATTATTCTTGAGAATCTCATTTACAAAAAGACATTAAGCAATGGAAAAATAAAGTATGGTAAAATAGAAGCTTCATGGGAAAATGGAAATACCTACTTAACCCAAAAGGAAGTCTCTGTGATAGTTTAAAATTAAAATCTCTTAAAAATGTTCCAACTTTGGACAAGAATTGAAAGGGTACAAAATTAAATGACTAAAAGAATGAAAAAGGCATTAAAGAACATTAGAAAGGTAGGTAAAATGTGACTAAATCAAGCACAGAATAAATGATGCTATTAGGTGAAATTATCAGTGAGAAATTTCTAGTTGTAACAAGTGACATTAAAATTACACCTACTACCAATAACCATTTAAGTATGTGAAAATACAAAAGATGTAACAAATACAGCTTCCCTCAAATCAAAAAGGGAGTTCTCTCAGCATTTAATCCAAAATTTAATAGACATATTCCTTCCTTTCAGAAAAAATACCTAAAGATGTGAGTATAATAATACAGAAGGATAGTTTCTCCTAACTTGGCAACATTTACCTTTAATTACTTATCCATAATATAGTATAAGAAAAGTAGTTACCATTGTACTGTAAAGAATTTCCAATTTAAGGAAAAAGAGTAGAAATAAAGGGCAATATTTTTAAATTTTACCATCTGGTCATTTTGATTCTTTTTCTTATACTGGTAAGATCTGCATTGGAAGACAATTAAGAACTATCATCACTTATGGATAACATATAAGGGTGTTTTAAGACTGCATCTTGTTACTCAAGTAAGCATGAAGCTTCAGTCTAACTTGATCCATGAAGATATGCAATCAAGTATGACATGGATTCATTTTGGCTTCTATTCAAATGGGTCTATTTCCTGGAAGGCCCTTTTCATAAAGTTTATTTTTCATATTTAAATGGTCCTACTGACATAAAGCTTTCCTTCTACAAATTCAGCGAGGCTCCAACAGGGAAACATATTTTGCATATATCTTATTACTCTTCTAAAAAAGTCTATGATAGATTTTGGGGGGCACTGGCATGAATCTCTTAAAATATCCAATTCTTAAATAAAATTATCATATGCATCTCTTCAAATATACATTTATAACCTTAGGTCAATTAATGATAACTTACTACTGTCAACAGGACTCAGAAATCTATTAGGTAAAACGTACACATACATTTTTAATTGTCAATTTGAACTATATAAATACCTTCAAATTGTATCCCACAATACGGTACGGCACAAATTTTCCTGAATCACGAGTGATGACTTTAGTAAGAATATCCTACTCATCCAGTTTAAACATCATTGGAAAACTGTGATTATTGTAAAATAAATTTTTCAGCTTTTGTAAGGGATTACTGAAATCTCACTATAAATACTCTGATGGCCCGGGTCTTTTCCTTGTGTCCCCAATTTTAACGTATCTCAGGTAAATGAGCGCATCTGGAAGGTACCTATGTTTTACCTACAGTAAAATCCTATGGTCTTAAAGTCTATGAGAAAAGAACACTTATACTTAAGAAACTACATTTGATGTTAAAGGTTTTACTTGAAACATTTTACATTTCAACAACTCTTGGTAAGCATATCTTAAGTTGCTCCTCTGGTAAGTGACCCAGCTTTCATAGAGCTATATAAAGTCTTGAGTGAAGCCAATAACATAAACACAGCCTCAATGTTAAAGATTTAAACAGTGTATTACACATTAGGTAGTTATCTCTAAAATTCACTAATGGAAAGATCACAAAGAGTTTGCTTTGCCTTCCAGGGGGAAAATACTCATTGAAATATGAACGATTACATCAAGTATAAAACCTGGCCATTTATTTTATTCACGCTTGTGCTTACAGACTCAAGTGGATCACAATACCCCATTATTTTAGCATAGAACATTCACACAAGTCCTTACTCAGTTCAAACACATTTTTATTATAATTCTCAATACAAGTACCAGAATATTGTTTTACGTTAGCAACTCTGAACTATCTAAACAAATGCTCCAGAGAAAATGTATTCTGGATTTTGGGAGGCAAGACGTTGCATACAATCTTGTAAGTCTCTCAATCATATAAACAATGTTAGATCTAACTTGAAAAAATGTTGGGTGTAATTTTTCCTGGGTAAGCTTCTCTTAAGTAGAAAATTATTTGAAAAGAACCTAAGCAAGAAAAACACATGTATTCAAAATACTCCCCCTCTTAGTTCTTTCACAGCTTTTTCTAGAATCCAAATTTATAAATACAAAAGATTTGAGTCTTCTTTTTAAAGCATGTAATCTTCCCTTTCCTATCAGACTACAAAGAAAAAAAACATTTTTTTCCGACCACAGATTTGATCAGAAAACTGTATCTATATAGGTTAAAAATAGATGTACGTGCATAAAAATATGTATGCAGTTACACAATATACAACTAATACAGACTTTATAGAGCTGGATTACAAAATGGCTTTTTTGACTTAATCATCAATATTTGTGCATTGTACTGAGACTACCACTAGTATATTTATTCTTATGATGTCCAGTCTTATTGGCATAGTTAAACTGCAACATTAAAACTGGACTTCCAATTTTTTCAATTCATAGTAAACATCATTTTTAGGATATTAACTAAAGAATAGGAAGCTAAAGAATAAACTACAAAATAATTTAACATTTTGAAAGCATTTGGCTGAAAAACACAAATGTGATTTAGATCCTTTAATTAATTTGCTTAAACTTTGGTGAACAAAAATTTGATGTGACAACTGCTTGCAGCTATTTACTAATTTGAGCATGTAAAACATATAATTGTTTCTGTCTCCCAGTCAGCATGATTACATTTTTAGGTAAAACTTATTTTCTTCTGTAGTGTCATATCTAATATTAGTTATCTTCCTCTACAAAACATGCTTTCAAAACAAAGCTCTCAGAGACATAGAAACTTTGCTACTAATGGTTTTTTTCAGTCATCCCAACCCATAACTTTCATATTAAATAAATTTTATTATTGCTTATGTTTTCTGATTTTTACAGAATGACTTCAACCATTCATATGTGTATGCATTTGAAATGTAACATAATCAATTAGTGTTTTTCAGTTGTTACACCAGTTGAGACAAAATCAACTACTATGACTACTTGCCTTCCACTTCTTTTTCTGTTCAAATGTATTTAATTTAAATGTCCTGTAAAAATGGCATCAAGGTAATGCTAAGCAATAAAATTTAAAAAGAAAAGCACAAAACCACACCAGAAACTATCACATCCATATAAGAGATTTATGGATTAGAATACAGTTTAGGAACAATTCTAATGATACAAGCTTGATGTTATTTTATATGAAAATGTGTTTAATGAAATGTGTATCAGTACACTGAATCCAAGCACTAATTTTAGTGATTATTTCTGAGAAGCTTCTCACCAAAAAGGTGGGTCCCTAAATGTATTAAAAAGTTGCTGATTCTCAGTGATGATTTCAATCAACATTCTTGTCAGTGTCCAGCCAATTCTCCCATACATCTCTTGTAAGAAGAAAATGACACCACCCATGCAAACCTGTGACCTAAGCATGCTAACTTAAACAAATATCAAAAAATATACCTTCAGGCTTACCCATAATTCCCTGGGATTTTTTTCATCGAATTGAAAGAACTTGACTATAAGCAATCACCATGCTTACCAAAATCCAGGATGTTTGTAGAGGGTGCTACTAAGGACTGGTTTTAAAAACAGCTCTCAGAAAGCAAGGAATCCCTGGTTTGCTGTATTAGAATAAAAGATTCTACCTCAGGCAAAACATCTCTACTATAATATAAATGGGTGCAGATGACAACAGACTTCAATTCCAGGTTAAATCTGCTTATATTATTTGACTAAGATATCTTTAAGTCTTTAAGTTCTATTGCAAAATGTTTGAGAAATCAGGAATTTAACAAAAAAGCTGCCAAATTTCATGAAATGTACTAATGAAATTGCTCTGTGAGCATGAAGTTGAATTGTATGCTTTTGCTTATTTGGCTATAATTCCATGAGTGATTTTCATGGAATCCAAATCAAAATTCATCATTGCAGTTGATTAATAATGGAAGTTACTATTCATTTTAAATACTTTTAGAAATAAAACTAATTTCACTAAAACATGATATTCCTTAAAAACCTTCTACCTTAGGGTAGATAAGTTTATATTTTATTTGTGGAGGTACAAATTATTTCCTTTTTATTTTAAAAAATAATTATTCCTTTGTTAGAATAAAGTTTTTTTTTTTAGATGTATGTATTAGTGTCTATCTCCACACTATACAAACTTTGTCACATTTTATCTGAAAAGGCTAGTAGGTAAACTATGCCTGGTATAGTATAAAAGAAAGATTAAACAGACATATTGAGGTTAAATAAATGCCACAGATTTTCTTTTCGTAACCTCTATTTCAAATAATTCTTAGTAGAATATTGGTATATCCCAATTAAAAAAAGAAATAACTTAGTGCCCAGACACTCAGGTTTGAACACTGAAGATTTATACTTAGGTGAGTTAATGGGCAGTTTAGCTCCAACATATTCGTACAAATACTAGAAACAGGAATACAGTAAGAATGGTACTTATGTCTGTACAGAGGATTGTTACTACATTAAGCACTTATGTTTCACATCCAAGGTCCTTTCTCAGCTACTAGGAAAAATGTGTGGCCTCAGGCAAAGTCACAAAGAATCCAGAACTACCTGTAAGACTTTCTTATCCTACTATCTCTTTGACTTTTCTCCCTCTGAAAGCAGTCTACTTTCAATCTCCTGATCCTGGAACCCTCAGGTTTTTCACATCTTTGGCTGTATCAAAATCTACATTCTCTAAAAATTCTGACCATTATGCTTCTGGTGTTTTTGCATTTTAGCACAGGCCAAAGCTGTAAGATCAAAAAAGAACTCTGTAATGGTACAATTTCAGGTCTTTAAAATAGATTCCAGGGAGATTCGGTGGTGGTGGTGTGGTATGCTAGAGGACTTAGCCATTGTCCTTACTCCTAACACTTTGTTTTACCACCACTTGGAAGTATTTAATTAAAACTACTACTCTTCCTTCTACTCTGTACAAAGCCAATTTTCAAAGAAGTTTAAAGTAGGTTTTTCCCCCCTGCCTCCCCTGCTGATAGTATTGTTTATCTATAAGGGGTTAAGCTTGCACAATACGTTTCAGGTAAACTAAGTACAGTTGAAATAACAAATTTACAAAAATGTTGATACATATAAGCGCTATGTGTCGATTTTCTCTTTTTCTGATTTCCGCATTCTGAAAAAGCAAATTTACAAATATACTCAGAGTAACTGAACAGGCAATAAGGAATAAATATAATTAGTGATCTGATAAGGCACAGCTCTTGGCATTTAGGAACCTAGAAACAGTGCCTTAAACATCCATTGTAATTCTAATTAAGGAATGATGTATTGTAACTTAAAAAGTTAAAGTCTTTGTTCTCTAGCTTTGCATATATACACCAAATATATTTGTACCAAAAAAGAAATGTTCATCTTCCTATTAGCCAGCATTTTAAATACAAGTGATTCTTAGCTAGATACTGTCATTACCTTAATTCTCCCGTTTGTACTTGTGGAAAAGAATCTAAAACTGGACTAAATTATCAGCTTATTTTCTAGAGGTATTTCCTCAAATAGAGTTCATGAATCAACAAGAAACTAGTGTCTTTTTGATGTTCAACATGAAACAGAAGGGACTAGAGAGAAGTTGTTAAGTTTAACCACACGTATAGAGAAGAAAACCTAATGGCTGAAAAGTGTAGGTCTCTTCTTCAAGGTTCCCACCTCTCAGACTCTGAAGAAGGATCTTTGGGGAAGACATGTCAATAGAAAACTATAGAGTGGAACAACAAAGCAACTTATAATGCAGCGAGAAAATAAAATGATGTGATGGGAAAGTCTGATCTGCTAATCTATGAATTAATGAGTCAAACACTGAGCTCTGAACTTTAATGATCATGAAAAATATTTCATAATAAATATATACTGTAAATCAAATGTATTTGGACATACTAAAATAGTTTTACATATATTTATTTGAAAAATAGATTCACATTAAAAATTTAACCTAACAGAACATTTTTGTATGTTTTTATGTTATTTAAGTATAATGCAACTTTGAAGTCAATAAGTAGGAAAGCTTTGAACAATGAGAAATCATTATAATCTGTAATACTATTCATGTGTGAAGAATTTGGGATTTCAGGGAAAAATGTCTAATAATGGTATAAAGTACTAATACAGAATTTAATAATAATTTACATAGCAGTGATAACAATGGCATTTTTATATACTGCTTTTCTTTCTGTTCTTTCAATCTGAACAATGGGCAATGTTTTATTTCAATTGGCAATTCAAATTTTTAAAAGTTAAACTTCTATAAAAGGTAATGGTCTCCTATTTCAAAAATGTGAGTTTTGTAAAGAACAAAAATTTCTTCTATGATGTGTTTAAAGATTATATCCTGACTGAAATGGGAGAAAATGTATTACTTCTTGTCTTTCATCATTCAGAATATTTATATAACTTCCTAGATACCTCTAGCTCTAAATGAAAGTTAACTTTAAAGTGGTGTTTCATGCTGAAGAAAAATGCAGGAATTCTAACGCAATAATTTCCCTATTTTTGCCACCATACATGGTGGAAAAGAGAAAAACAATCAGTCAGGAAGAATGTAATAGGTGCATTTTAATCACTGTCTAAAACTTTTTTACCTACTGTTTATCAACAACTATTCTTATCTTATGTCCTTATTTAAAATAATTCTATAAACTGGCATCTAGTTTCTTCAAGAAGTATATTCGGATATAAATTTTAAATAGAAGACTACATCATAAAATGAAACTTCTCACTTTCATTTCTATCCATATTTTGGCTTAAAATAATTTGTGTTTTTTTTGGAATTATGCTTTAAATATTTATAAATGACAATTTAAATGATTAAATTTATCATTTGGGTTTTAGTTATTGTAACTTTCAGATTTCATCACAATTAAGCCTATTAGGATAAGCTGTGAAGAGATCATTTCACAAACAAATTTTCAAAAGCATACAAGGTTAATCCATATGCTGCTGAGATGAGGCACAATAAAGAAGCATTACTGAGATAATCTATGGCTAAAATGATGGTGTATGACTTATGATTAAGCTTCATTACCTGCAGAGCAAGGGGCTTCCATCTCATATTTTTCAGTAAAGCTGGTGCTGAGGTAAGCATGCTCTGAGGTCGCTTTTTCAAAGTTAAGATAACACCACTCGGGTCCTCTCGTAGTGCATTCACCAAATTTTTCAACTGCCACCCCACCTGGTAACCAGCAAAATCATTACAATAAAATTGAGGTACAGATTCAAAGATTTAATGTTCTCCCCCTTTAATAAGATTAGTTAGAAAAAAAAGAAAATCACATAATTGGTGTACCATCCTATCAATTTTCAGGAGTTATATACTCAAGTAAGAAATTTTATTTTTGAATTGATTAACCATGTTATTGCTTTAGAGTCCATATCATTATGAGATAACATAATGGACATTTACCACGCCAAAGCAGAGACTAAAATGGTATCCTACCAATGGAGTAATTTAGAATTTAAAGAAATTATGTCATCATTAATGCTGCATAAGGTCTAGATACACGCTCTGTTCACAAGCACAATTTAAAAATCCACATGCCTGAACACAAGGATTTGGCAACATCCTGAGCTTACAATCTATACCACATGCTTTCTCATCACCATCTTTTAGACATATGTGGTACAACTGTCTTCTAAGTTAGACTGACATTATTACTACCAGTAGCTAGTACTGACACACCAAGGCAATATTCTGATGTATGGAAGACAGCATCAATAAAAGAAACCTTTTACCATGATATAAAGATAGAATAAAAAATGACAAGGCAATGCTACTCTAATGTAGCAACTGGAAATGTATTTCTTAAGACCCTATAAACTTAAAACATAATGTGCTAAATTTAATGAAGCCATTCTATTTGAATATCACCTCAAAACATACTGTATAATTAAACTGAGGTACTTGACAAACGTCCTGAAACCTGGCTCAACTGTTGTCCATGTTAAATTACTTATCATCCTTTTGAATTTTTGAACATAGACTAATTTTGGTTACTTTACTTTTAAAATGTACTGGTTGTACAGTTATCTGAAATCCTAGCACTATACTTTAAAGAAACACTTTAAAATATCTGTTATTCCAAGGTTTAAAAAAATACATTTCACATTTAAAAAGGGAGAAGAACCTTTTATCTCAACTCTAAAGGATTTGAAATTTCCAGGATGTTATATAAATACTTTGGGACAAAATTTATCCTGGATTGCAAGCAGGATTTAGCAAATGGTCTGAACAGTGGTCTAGTTTCTTCCTAGGCACCCAAATGAAAGAGAAGGGGTGCCTTTGCCTATTATCCATCATGTTTTTGCTTGGAAGATAATGGTCGAGCTGTAAAGAATGAGCACTTCCATCAAAATAAGCAATGATCCCAGAGACTATGATGAAGAGGTACTGCGGACCACAGCCACTGTAGGACAATGGGAGACTTTGGTTTATATGAGTGACTGTTCATTTAAATTATAACCTCTACTATAACTGAATTGAGTGATGGTGAAGTAAAAGAGTTAGGACAAAAAAGAAGCAATATATTATAATGCTTAAAACCTCAGGGGTCTCAGATATGAATCAAAGTGATCATTATGATACTTTGCCAACGTGAATCAGAAGCTGCCAGTTTAAAAAAACACATAGTAATGTGGATCAACTACAGTAATGGAACTAGTCAAATGTCTCCCATTATATGTAAGTCGGGATTATTATGTGCCCAAAGGTATAATACATTGATTCTGATCCTTCTGATAGCTAAGTAGTGTCACTGTAGCCATTTCTATGAGCCAAGAGTCAAAGCAAAGTTAGTTCAAATCCAAGTATTCATTGTGCTTGCCAAAAAAATATGCAAGCAGATTTCTGAGTTCCAGGTTTGGAGGGAGAAGACATACTGTTTATACAAAGAGTTTATGAATAACTTATTAATGATAACCACATTTTATCATTTATTTATTCAAATAATTGCTAACTATCCTAAAGCAATCAACATGCCTATATCCTTCTTTCAGCTTATCTATACCCGACAATGAATTACCCATAGATTTCTTCTACCAATTTATTTTCATTTTATTCTGTGACAGGATCATTGTGACTAGTTAAATTTTTTTAGGTCTAGATAGTGTTTTCCTGTGTAATATTCAGTATAATTTGATTCATCCTGTTTTCACAATTTCTCTATGGTCTTTTTGAATATACAATTCCAAAAAACAGAATTGTTTTTTCATGAGAAGTGGAATTGTTTTTTGATGAGAAAGTAATAATTTGGTTAGATTCTAATTTTATAACTGAATGCTACTTAATGGCAGAATATTATATAACTTTATTACTTTTTAATCAGTCTTCCCATTCTCACTGACCTAAGATTAGGAGTATTTTAAACAAATGTGACCATTATAAAGTATGTACCTTTAGCTCCCAAATTCTACTTTCACTACCACTAGGAAATGATTGGATAAAAGCATAGAGATAAATGTGCAACATGTGTGTTGCAGTGCTATTTAAACCAATCAAACCCTGTGCATTATGTAAATACCTATTAGCATGGGATATAAAAATTGTGTAGAAAAAAGTTTAAAAGCAGCTAATGTAATTCAATTCTCTTTTGTAAAAAAACTTATATAAATAGAGAAAACACAGAAAGATATACAATATCATTAACAATGGTAACATTAAAGGGGAGTAAAGACTACAATATATCTTTTCCTCTTTATACTTTTATTTCCTGAACTTTTGGTAATAAACATGTTATTTTTAGAAACAATAAAATCAACAAAATAAATGGACCTAGTCCATGAATAGTAATACTCCAGTTAGAAAATCGTGAATTTTATGAATTACCTAATTAGGACTGTTTATTATGAATGGAAAACTCCCCCTCAAAGTACAGAACCAGAAAGATAACACTATTTAAAACAGTAAAATGTGGTGATGGTGAAATCACACCTACTCTGTGCATTATACTTTAAGATAATTAGCAAAAGAAAAACAAAATAATTACTTAGCTGTGGACAATAAGTCAAGAACTATATTATCTGTTGATTTTTTTATTCCAGGAATGATTTCAGTATATACTTCACTTAAGTGTTAAGCCAGGTTCACCTGGAAATTGCTGAATGGGAATGAAGCTGGCTGAGTGGTTCCCAGCCTACATGTAATGTTTTTCTTAATAACAGGTAGGTTTTAGCTATATCAGTCCCATCCTAGTACTTGTATACACAAACAGCCACCAGACAACATGCCTCTCACTCAAATAATCCTTTTAAACTTAGTCCTTTTTCAAACTCCCTGACTTGGATCATTTCTTCATTACTTTCTATCTTCTCTACCACATATAATTCTTATTGTCCCCATTTATTGGGTTGTATCATGTTCTGTTTAAGGGCAAACATGGCATGGTCCTAGAGTTCCAGGAAAAATGATTCCCAGCTCTGATTCTGTGATATCCAAACATATCTTAGGTCATATAACTGTAGTGAATTCTTGAAATAAATTTATTTCTCTTTAACTGTTACTGAGATACTTATGATTGACAGATTTTATATGAGGACATGAGTAGATGGTGTGATAAAATGAAGCTAGTATGTAGGTTACAACTTCAAGAAATTTGGGAGCCCCATGTTCACAGCTAAAGATAACGGTGCATACACATCAAAATAGTAAAACATATCAGTGTATCAGTCATTTTTCAAGATTAGTTTTATATTTCCTCATTTAAGTTTCTGGCTATGGTTTTAAATTAAGTGTGACAGACCTGAATTAGAAGCCATGTGAAGAAATAATAATACGAAAAATGACTGTATTCTTTACATTTGTTCCAATGAAAGTTCTTCCATACTAGGAGACAGAGGGAGCTTTGAAGGAAGAAGGTATCCTAGTGCCTGCTAATATAAGAGTATAATCCACTAATATGGGAAGAAATTAAATAAGGTACAAAATTTTAAGAGATAATGGTTTTGGGACACAGATGAAGAAAAACATTCTAATAAGGAAAGACATGCAAAAAGGAACCGGCTGACTTGTGAAATAGTGAGTTCAACACCAAAAAAGATGTTTCAATAATCTTGCACAGGCCAAATGATTAGAGTTCTGAAGCCACAATACAATTTCAACTCTAATACGCAGAATAGGTAAGAAAATGGAAATAGGTTATACAATAGATGAGCTTGAGTAAAGGAATGTGGTCCTAGTACATCTCTACTTGTCCTCCATCTTTTCTTCCTCTTCACAACCAATACATGCAGGTGTTTCTTCTAGGCTAAGAGTTAACACTTTGAATATTTCATGCTGTCTTCTTAAAATAATCTCTTCTCTTCCCAGAGTTTTCACTAACAACTTTCTGCATGACTCACAAATCTTTCTAACCATCCCTGCTTCCTATCAAGAACTTATGACACATTTCCAACAGTTCAGTTCATCCACACTAATAGCTATTGAATAATCAAGTACCAGTAATTCACTACGCTAGATTCTTCATATCTATATTACATTCCTTTTATTTATATTTTCATTCCCACAACAGCCTTATGAGGTAAACTATTAAACCCATTTTACATGTGAAGAAACTGAAGCAAAAAGAGATGTTTTCTTGAACAAGATTACAAATATAGTAAGTTGCAAAGCCAGAATTCACATTCAAGTCTGTTTGATTCTAAAGTACAAGGTACTACAACAGCAAGCATCCTCCCCTAAATATCCATTGGTCGTTCACATGAATACAACACTTTAAAAATCAAACTTATCTCCCTGTTTTCACTCAGCAAGTACAACAAAAAGTTCCCCATCATCCTCTCAAGTTTTGAGTATGGAGTCACCTATGACAGTTCCTCTTCTTTTTAATCCAGGTGTGTCCTAAATAGAGTCTAGCAACTAATAACTCTCCTCACTGCCTTACTTCTGGCTTGGATGCCTGACTGCTAGACTTAAAACAGGATCCTAGCTGCTCTTTCTACCTGCAGTCCTTTCTAGCTCCAAAATACTGCTACAGTGCAAAAGTGTTCTTTCACTCAGAACCTTTGAAAAGCTCTCCAAAGGCCTAATGAAAGAAATCAGTCCTCAAATAGGTCCTTTGCCAACATGGCCATAGCTATCTCCTATCATTTCTCTTTAATGTGATTCTTAAACTTCAGCAGGTGTTAGAATCACCTGGAAACCTGAGTTTTTGATCCAGTGGGTCTGAGGTGAAGTCCTAG